TACACAGCTGATGAGATTACCACGAAATAGTTGAATTCAACACATCCTGTGATCATAATGCTTCTTCTTGCTCTCATGAAATTGTTAAAGGGAACTGGTTGCATGGAACTTTATCACTAGTCACACTACCCGCCACAGGACAGGAACAAAAACTGGAATCCGTGAATTCTGCCTTGGCGTTGACGCAGTTCGAGATGTCTCATATACTACATTTGACGATCCGAGCATGCAAGATTTCAAAGAACTTATAACTCGTGATTAACCAGGAAACAAAAAAGCCCTTCCGATGGACATATTGCCCTACTTCGAATTCCGAGGTGAACTAACCGTTCACGAACTGATTTTTCGTGGTGAAAGGCAGATAATGGCGAAGGCGATTCAACAAAACGTAATGCGTTTGATACATTGCTCCTGCCGGTACCAACGGATGCCTCAGTCGCACCAGGGAGACGTAATATTGGCCGGGTATGTCAGAACAGATAAAACAGTTGATTACCAAATGTGAAATACGCAAGCAGTTTGGTCAACGACAAACGAAGGAACCGATGAATATGCGTGCAATACCAGCTAGACCATGTCAGATGGTAACGGTGGATATTTTTTATCACGGGAAAGACAACTACCTGATAACTGTTGCTTACTACAGTAACTTTTCCGAAGTTCATTTACTGCGATCCAGCATATCGGCGGAGATCATTGATAAACTGAGCGTTCATTTTGCACGACACAGAATACCACTTCAGGTGATTGCCGATGGTGGTCCTCAATTTCGTAGTACCGAATTCCAGAAATTCAGTGGACCATGGTGTTTTGAGCACCACGTTACTAGCCCCTATCATAGTCAGTCCAATGGCAAAACAAAAAACGCGGTGAAACAGGCAAAGAAGCTTAAGAAGAAATGCAGTGCGGATGGTAGCGACCCACTAATGGCTCCGCTTGAGTTACGGAACATACCATCGACCATCATGGGAACCAGCCCGAGCCACCGTTTATTTGGCAGATGCACATGCACGGTCCTACCCTTTTGCGACGAGCTACTACAGCCACAAACTATGCCATCAGTAGTTACACAGTCAAGGCTAAAGAAACGCATGGTGCTGCGGAAGAGGTAGTACGACTGCGGCAGTAAACCTGTGCTCACTCAGATCAGGAGACACGGTTTGGGTACAACCACTAAAACTAACAGAAACGGCATGGGTAAAAGGAGAAGTGATATCAAGAGCAACAAAAATCTTGTATCTGGTACGCTGTGGTCAACGGGTAATACGGATAATAGCGTTCATTTCAGGAAAGTGGAGGAGAATGACGACTAAGACGAAAGAAAGAGAAGATACAAATACTGCACAGGAAGATGTTAAAATCAGTGTACGCGAACTGCAGCGAGAAATACCAACGACGGGCATGACAACACAATCTCCATCCCGAACACGAAGCGGACGGATATACCAATCAGGATCATAATGAAAAAAATTCAAAAGAAGAGGAATGTGTTTGGAAAGTGTTGTTTGCATCGATCGCATTTTTACTGCATCGTGTTTTTATCATTGATCAGTATTAGACTTTCATTTTGTTAATCGGACAATCTGGTTGGTTCAAGTTTCTATATCTAAACGCCTGTGATTTCCTTCCCAAATGTGATTTGTGTCCGGTGCACTTATGACATTTTTCAATTGATTGTATGCTACTTTTCGCCACTCCGACTCTAAGTGTCGCTCTTTTCCGATGGGCGAGTAGCAAATCCCCCGTGACTATAGGGTAAACTCCTGCCGTTCATCGCACTATAGTCTATAATTAAAAAGAAAAAGAAACTAATGTACTGATGGAGTTCTGTTGTTTGTACTACCGCCTGCTCCAGTAAGACACGCATTAATGAAAATCCGTTCTTCAGAGGAAATCGTTTTGCCAGTCTCACCAAAACGCTGGTGAATTTAACCTTCGAAAAGACAACTTCTGAGAACAGTTCATAGATTGCAGATATTCCTTTTGAGTAATGTGATTCCTCGTCTTTCACTATAATATTTTGTGGATCGTTTCAGTTCTGTAGGTCAGTGGACCATTTCATTTGAACCAGGAACTTTAATTGACCCATATTTTCAGTCTACCGTAGATTTCTAATGCGCCTGCGTTTACTAGACACTTTTGCTTTCTCTCTATTCAACAAAATCTTTACTATTTTGAGATTTCTGTTGTGATTTTGAGATTATAGTTTGCCACTCCAAGCTTCAGAGCCTGGCCCGCTGGTTTGCGCAGTTGGTTAGTAGATCTTAGCTACCGTAATTTTTTATTTTTTTATTATACATTTGTAAGGTGAGCAACAGACAGGGCGAGCCCCATAGTCACAAAGACATGCTGCTCCGTCATGGAAACCGATAACCTAAGCCCCGGGACTTGGAGTAGCGAACCACATAGGGCCCGGTAGGTTAGGCGTGGTATTAAACCGGACGACAGCGAAGCTTCCTACCACCAATGTCGAGTGGCGGTGGCAGGGCTTGGGCCATAGGGTCCAAAGCACGCCAGTGACAGCGGCTAAACCACTGCGCCACCAGTGTATTCGAAAAAAGAGTTTGCTTCGCAGATGGTCAAGTGTTTTCATTGGTTATCACCATCGTGCTGTTCTCCTTAAGCCCAACCGCTTGTTTCTCTCATCATGACCTCACTTTGCTCCAAACGGTTGCGTTGTCTTCCGTCTTAGGAATCTCAATTATATTGGTCCTGTTTAGTTAACCGCAACTTACAGAACTGGGATCGCTGGTTTCCATAAATCCGTGGTAGTAGATCCTCGGAGACTTGAAGATTCACCCGCTTTTGTTTTTCGTCACACTGATGTGAAACAGAAGCTTACGTATACGAAATGTTCAACGAGAGGTCGTACCGGTACATTTTAAAACATCAATGTTTCAGCTGTCGACTGTATCAAGGAAAACGAATTTATGAAACGGAACTTTCACGTGGTTTCATTTATACTCAGTCCTGTCTGATAATTTAGTTAGCATTTTTCCGTTGAATGAAACTTCAGCAATTTTTCGGTGCAAATTTCTACAATAAACATACTTTTCTATTCTTTATGGGTTCTTTTTTCATTGATCACGTTTGATCGTAAAATTTGTCTATTATAAATATACTTTAGTCGATTCTGAACCGCCGTTTTTTGGTCCGCGGGCAGCCAGTCAGGTCATCTTGTAAGTGGATTATCATCGTTCGTTGCATTCCCCCCACCTACGTTTGCATTCAAGGCAATAGTTGTGATTTGTTTTCGTTTTTCACGTGATCATGTATGTTCATCAAGCACTATCCTCGGAACGGGTTACTGCATGGTTCAGACAGTTCCAACCTTCCAGTCGGTGGTTTAACGAATGCAGGCATGGTGGATGAGCCGTTAGGCGGCGGAGACGGCAATGCAATCGGATATGCCGACACGGTCCCTTTGCATGGTTCTTCTAGTCGCCTTTCCAAGGCATCCACTTTCACGGAAACCAGTGATGCAACCTCAACTACCACAACGGAACATGAAAAAGTGAGTTCGTTAAGTCCATTCACGGGACTAATCATATGTTCTGTTTTTCTTTCCTTTTTTCCATTCACGCGGTCCCTGTTTTGACATCAATTTTTGATCGATCGACTCCGTATTTGGGTATGCGACCGATAGGGTCGTGCACCGACCACTTTACCGAAGGAAACCAATGTTTCATCTGAAAAGATAGTGATTAACGATGGCCTGGCAGCCTCGTCTATCGCTGACTCGACTGATTTAGTGGAAGAGCCTGTAAGTCACGCCGATCGGTTGATTTTGGGTCACGTCGTTTGTGTTATGTGTCGTACCGTGCTCTAATCGGTGTTGTCCTGCGGGGGTGTACTGTACGCTCACCTCGTGTTGGCTGTCTAATCTACTCGATCTCACCCAACTTACACCTCTCGACTTAGCAAACGTGACGGGTTGCACGTGGTGGGGCACTGCTGTGATATGTTCATTTTGTGTGTTGATCGTGACCTGAATTTCCTTCAACTTCTCATTTCAGTTCGACTTCGGAGATATGATGATCTACCAGGCTATTCATACCATTGAGTATTGTCTTGGTTGCATCTCGAACACTGCCTCCTATTTACGTTTATGGGCTTTGAGTCTAGCCCACGCTCGTAAGTTGTTTGTGCGAGTTACCTGTTAAGCCCACTTATTATTCCAATTTATTTCATCTTCATTTAGCTACAACAAGATTGTTAAGTTTTCATTCTGAAAAATCTGATCATTTGCATATTGCATGGTCTATCTGATTGTGTGACATTAGTTGCCATTCTTTCGAATCAAACCATGGAAACGTTAAGGGTCGGGCTTTGCAGTTGTCACTACAGGTTGGAGAATTTCATTGGGTGATCAGCCTGATGATATGCAGACCGGAAATAAAGAAAGGTAGAATGAGTTTCATCTATTTTGGGTTCTAGTTGGATGGTAACAACGATGAACACGATAGTAAACCTAAGGTACCGGCATCCTTGCTGTTTTTTTGACCGGACCTGAATGCTGGCCTAGGTGTTTGTGTACAGTTGGGCAGTATGTTCTAAATGCAGAACGTAACACTTGGTGTGCTGTCACGCCTTAGCAAACTGAAATTTCT